TCTCTTTCACGACTGGCGGAGAGATTCCCGGGAGAGTCGTGTCTGGGGCCCAGGGCTGCGCAGGGACCCTGGGGACCTCGGTTAACTTCGAACACACCACGGGGGAGACTCCAGACAAGTCCCCCACCTTCAGCAGCCCCTCGAAGCCAAAGCAGGAGTGGCGGCCCGGGGTGGAGGTGGCGCCGAGGGTCTCCAGCCGGCTGTAGGACCGCCGGACCTTCTTGGACATTTCTAGGTCTCTGGTGTCCAGGTCTTCCCCGGAGTTGGACTCGACGTTCAGGGGCTGCAGCACAGGTGTGGTGGTGGGTGTGCTGGGGACACTACATGTCTTGAAGAGGTCCTCCTTCGTAGGCTCCTTACTGGGAAGGTGGTTTTCTTTCTCCAAGAAAAAAGCAATCTGCACCAGGACAGAAGAGAAGACGCCTCCCTGTTACTTAGCTGCATTACCTGCTTCCAGAAAGGCCCGAGGAGACTCAGGGTGGCAAGGAAGACCCACAGGGCAAACACTTAAAAGGAAAAGAGGAGACGGGTCAGGTGACAGCAACTCAGACCCTGAGACAGACGTGGGGAGGGGAGAAAAGAACAACCAGTCATGGCTTCCGAGGGGTCCGATTTTGTGACACGAGACTTGCCACCACCCGCTGGTGCTGTCAGCTCTGTGTCCAAATGTGACTGGAGTCTAGCCACCCCTAACTGACACCGGCCCCCACTACATGCCACCCAGACGAGTTCTACAACCTCCTAATGCTCTTCCTGCTGTCAGCCTTGCCCTGTGCGGTCCGTCTGCCACACAGCTGGCGATGATTTTCCTAAAATGTCCATCCTGTCCTTAAGTACTTATTGGTCACCTGCCCGGCTCCAGGCCCTGGTCTAGACACTGAGAGAACAGCAGGGAATAAAACAGAAAATCCTTGTCCCCATGGAGCTGCCATTCTAGCGGGAGCACAGATAATAGGGACAACCATGTGGGACATTAGAGGTGGTAAGCACTTTGGATCTGGAGTCCTGGGGTGGGCTGGAATTTTAAGTAGGTGAAGGTCAATGTAGGGCTCGCTGAGGTGGCATGTGAGCTACAACTTAAAGGAGGTGAGGGAGTGAGTCATCTGGAGGAAAAGTGTTCCAGGCAGAGGGAACAGAATATGCAAAAGTCCTGAGGCAAGTGTGCCAATCAGAGTCAAGGAACAAGGTCAGTGTAGCTGAAGCAAGAGGAAATGAGAGGAACTGAAGAGGGGGTTTGAGAGGTAATGGGGGGTTATAGGGTGTTTTGTAGGCTACTGTAAGGGGGGACCCATGGAGACACTGAAACCGAGAATAAAGGAGTTAAAATTTCCCTGGATTAGGGGAAAATCGTGCCTTGTATCCACAAGGCTGATGTGGGAAATAAAGTAACCAGTTTCTGAGCTTGTTTTGCAAACAGCAGGAGGACCACTGATAAGAGAGCAGCTTGCTGATGCCTGTACGCCCCCCCACCCCCACCCCGCTGCCTGACTAAACATAGTGCAGGTGCATCGGAAGCTAAAACGACAGCCTGTAAACTTCAGGCATCACAGACTAAAAATCTACCACATGCAACACATAGAACCCCCTGGAATTTGCACAAGAGGCCCATGAAGACACATGAAAGATGGTTGCGCCTGCGCAGAGGACTCTTAAAACTTCAGCCCCCAAGGCCATATGCTCCCCCGCCCCGACCTAAAAGCCCAAATAAAAACCCTTGCTTGTAGTTTCCAGAGAGTTCGGGATTACAGGATTAGCTGCCCATTCTCCTTGCTCAGCGCTTTGCAATAAAATTTCTACTCTCTTCCACTACCCCCCCGCATCAGAGGTTGGCTTGCTACAGGGCACGTGAGCGAACCCACTTCCGGTTCAGTAACAACCCTTGCCCTGGGAGACCCAGGGAGCCACAGCAAGGTTGGGAACAGGGAAGGGCTTACCCTGACGTGTGGATTAAGAGGTTTACATACTGGCTCCTCACAATCCCGCTCTCAGCGCCAATGCCGCTTGTTGAGGAGGCCATCCCTTCCCGCAGAATCTAGATCAGCCCCTCTTCACCTCTGCCAGTTCCTGTCACAGTGACCTCTTCCCTGCACAGCAACCATCACGATCTGATTTTGCTTGTTCACTGGCTGACTGTCACCCCAACTAGAAAGGGAGCTTCCTGAGAGCAGGGGTCTCCATCTGTCTGGTTGGCCTTCACTATGCTCGGCACCTTCAGCAGAGCCCTGCGTGCAGCAGGTGTGGACAACTCACTGAACTGATGTACAGTCACCCCCCTTATCTGTGGGAGACATTCATGACCCGCAGTGGGTGACCGAAACCACAGCCAGTACCAAACCCTAAATACACTATGTTTTCTCCTATACATACACACCTACCATAGTTTAATTTACAAATTGGGCACAGTAACAGAATATCTGAACTGCTAGCATGACCACTCTTGTGCTTTGGGGCCATGATTACAATAAGGACTACTGGAACACAAGCACTGCGATACTGTGACAGTCAGCCTGACAACAGAGATGGCTACTAAGTGACTAAGGGGTGGGTAGCGTGTACAGCGTGGATTTGCCGGACAAAGGCATGATTCACACCCCGGGAGGAACGGTGAGTTTTCATCATGCTAACTCAGAATGGCGCCCAATTTAAAACTTACGGATTGTCTATTTCTGGAATTTTCCATTTAATGTTTTCAAACCACAGCCGACTGGGGATAACTGAAACCTCAAAAAGTGTAACTGTGGATAAGGGGAGACTACTATACACAAAAGTTGGCCGTGAGCTTTCCGGCAGCCAAGATAAGGCAGGAAACAGGACAAATTCGACGACTCTTGTGGTCTGATAGAAGGAAGTGTATCGGTTATCAAGAGAGACATTTCCTGGCTACCAGCTCTGGAGAACCTACCCCACAAGTCTTAGTAAAAGGGATGCAGAACAAAATGGAGTCACCCCTGACTTCTTCCTCATCCCCTAAAGCCAAGCAGTCATTCAAGTCCGTGCAGCTTTTTTGCTCACTATCTCATGAATCTATCATTCAACCAACAGGAATGAGTGGCCACCACGCAGGAGGCAGAAGTCTCTGCCCCCAAGTCAAGAAACATGCAAACAAATCCTCCCAGCTATGATAAGGCTCAAGGAGAACTACACTGAGAGAAGCGACAGTGATAGGACAGGGGTGGTCAGGGAAGGCTTCTGGGAGGAGGTGTCCTTCGAGCTGAGTCCTGTGTGATGGGATGGTCACGTGGTGAAGCAGGGAGAGGAGCATCACTTTGCCATTACCTTACTTCAGACCCCCACCATCTCACTTCAGGATTCCTGTCACGCCCTCCTGCCTGGTCTTTGGGTTCCCCGTAGGCTTTCTCCAACCTATTCTCTATCCAGCGCCAAGAGGGATCTTTCTAAAACACTCAAGCTTAACTCAGTCGCTACCATGCTTATTGTCCAAAGGCTGCCCACAGAGCCAAGGATGAAGCCCAAGCTCCGGAGCATCTGAAGACCTGTTCTGGCTTAGCATGTTCCCTCTTGACAACATCTGCTGCAGACACGCCGAACCAGCTGCTGTTCCCCAAACCTGGTGGGTTTTTTGTGGACTCCAGGTCTCTGCAAACACAGCTTCCTTTGCTCCAAACACTCCTACTTGTCTTTAAAGACTAAACATTCAGTTTAAACTTTTCTTCTTCTGTGAAATGTTCCCTGAGCCACCAGGTCTGGGTTAGGGGCCTTTCGAGCATCTAGTTCTTTCCTTATCACAGTCCTCAGCACACCACGTTATCACTGGTTCATATGTCTCTCTCCCCACTTGACTGTACACCCCATGGGCTCCTAAAAAGCAGTCAGCATTTCTCATTCATTATATCTTCAGGCACAGAGTTTGTTAATGAAACATCTTGATTTCTGCTAAAACCGTAAAAACACTGAACACGTAACTTATCTTACAACAACCATAAATAAAAACCGAGGACAAGATGGAGTAGGAAGAAAAAAGAGTAGTTAGGACACAACTCAAGTTTTAAAGGAAAATGGTAGAGAATACCAGGACATCAAGAACTAAACCTATTAGGTCTACAAGGAGTAAGCCAGACTGGCATTGCATGCAGGCATCCAAAGGCAAACTGTCTCAAAAATACCGCAAAACAGCTCCCTGGGCAGATGTGAGTAGCCACTATGCCCCTCCCGAGCTCTAGAATGTCCTGGATTCTACTCAGCTAAGCAGATGAAAATGAACTCACCCTAGGGCTCCTTCGAGGCGAGTTGACAGATGGGATCTGTGGAGACAATATTAATTGATCACACAGCCGGCCCCCATTTTGGCTCCCCTCCCGCAATCCCTCTCTCCACCCTCACCTGTGCGGCATGGGCCACGATCTTCTTCAAGACGATGGGCTTTCTGACGGGAGCTGCATGGGGTGCCTGGAGAAGAGGGGTGACCATGAGCTCTACATTAGGCCAGGGGTCCCGCGGCAGGAACCGAAGAACCCGGGGCTCACCTTTGGACAGATTGCAGGGAGGGTACTCGGGAGATCAGAGCCTGATTTCCGCTGGGACCTCCGCAGAGATTTAGGAGATGGGGCCGCGGGCCCTGGGAAGAGGAAAAGGAGGTATGGGAAGACTCTAGACCTTCGAGTCTAGAGTCTAGAGAACAGGGCCTTCCTCACGGGACTGCGTCCCTCAAACGGCCCGGCCCGTCTCTCCCGCGCGCCCTCCGCTCACCCGAGCTCTGGGCGGCCCCTCCGGACCGCGTTCGCCTCGCCGACATATCCGGCCCTGGTCTCGATCTCCGCCGCCGCCGCTGCCGCCGCTGCCGCCGCCGGAGCTCGCGCCAACCGGAGGGCCGTGTGAGACACAAACGTTCGAATTACCCGCCCTGCCCAGGAGGAAGCGGAAGTGACGTAAGGCGGGAGGGCCACCCAGCTCGGCTCGTCCCCTCTTCGCCCGTCTCCACGTCTAGCGTCAGCAGGGGCGGGGCCGGCGGCGCTCTAACGTCATCAGCGCGCGCCGCACCCGGAAGAGACGTGGCAGCGGAGGGATAATCGGAGCGGCCCGAGGTGGAGAGAGCAGAGCGGTTGCTCGGACGAGTGCGGCGTCTGTCCTTCCGCGCCTCCGCCCGGCGCTCGCGCCCGTCGGGACCGGTACCGCGGCGGAACAGTAACACCGAGAGCGGGGTCTGTGGATGAGGTGGGGGCGGGGCTTGGAGGGGGTGGGGCTCAGGAGGGGCCCCTGGGGGCGGGGCCGGTGGTATCGGAGAGTTGCTGATGGAGTGGCCTGGCCGGGGGAGGGATCCGAGAGGAATAAGGGGTCTCCGGAGGCGGGGTTTATGCAGGGGGCGTGGCCCGGAGTGAAGAGCGGCGGTGGGCAGGAATTTGGGGTTGGGGCGAATGCGAGAGTGTCTACGGGAGTTCAGAGTAGAAACGAAGTGGGCTGGTGAGTGCGTCGTGGCGGCCACTAGAACCCGGCTCCCTGCCAACTCAGGCCCCTTCCCCAGGGCCTACCATGGGGCTTTGCAAGTGCCCCAAGAGGAAGGTGACCAACCTGTTCTGCTTCGAACACCGGGTCAACGTCTGCGAGCACTGCCTGGTAGCCAATCACGCCAAGGTGGGGCCTTCAGGGGAGCGGCTGCGCGGGGCACTGGGTGGGCAGGCCGTCTTGGCTTCCTCCAAATCCGTGAAGGGCCGACAGTAGAGTGGAAGCTCCAGAAGGGCGAGGACTTGGTTGATGTCATTCGCTGCTCTATCCCCAGCCCGTAGGACAGTCTGGCACAGTCTGTGCTCAGTAAATGTTTGTTGATTTGAACAAACGAAAGGATGAGTCTCGTCTGTGATGAGAGAAAAAGAGGCAGTTGGACCTTGGGGAGATGGGCCGTCGAGCCCCTGCTCCAGGTGTGACCTCTCTCCCACTCCAGTGCATCGTCCAGTCCTACCTGCAGTGGCTCCAAGATAGCGACTACAACCCCAATTGCCGCCTGTGCAACATCCCCCTGGCCACGCGGGAGACGACCCGCCTCGTCTGTTACGGTGAGACCTGTGCACCTTGGGGGGATCAGGACAGGCCGAGCTTGGTGACTGCTTTCCAGGCCTCCCTAAGCATCAGGACAGTGAGACCCCCCCCCAAGCCTGGGAGGCTGGAGCCCCAGATTAGTCCTACTAGGTTACTTACCTGCTGTGTGAGCTCAGGCAGGTCATTCCTTTTCTAGGCCTCCGTGTCTTTCCCTAAAAATGAAAGCTCCTCGTTTCTTCCCTGCCAATCTTGAGGGTTGAGCGAGAGCCTGTCAACCTTGTGGATGTAGTTGAGACTGAGCAGTAGCTGGCTGGCCCAGCGGTGAGCTGAAAGCATGGGGTGTTCAGACATTCAGGATCCATTACTGACTCCAAGATCAAACAGAGAGGAAGTGAGTTTCCCACAGTCAAGTCAGCTAAAAGAAGTCACCAGACACATGCGTCATGACCTTGACCTGCCTCTGGCGTAAGAGCCTTAGCCCCACTTTTTGAAGGAGCTAGCAAAAGAGTGGGCTCCACTTATGTGTTTCTCAGTGTGAGTGTGTGTGTGTCTGTATGAATTTCACGTGCACTGTGTCTTTATGTAAGTGTTCATTAGTACTTGCGGGTGAGTGAATGAGTAAATGTGTGTGAGCATATGAACACAGGTGTGCTGTGAGGTTGCAGAAGAATGCATGGGTAAGAATTCTTAAGTGTTAGCAAATGTGTGTGTAAATGTTTATGTGTGAGAGTTAGTGTGCCCATAAGTGTAGATGCCGGGGGTGGCACTTGCATTTGATTATGTGCATAAACACATGTACATTTGTGCCAGTGGATGTGTACTTGCGTGTGTGTGCCTGTGTGTATGTCTAGGAACCTTTTCTGGAGCTGTCTTTGATTAGCTGTTAGTTCAAGGACCTTGGAATGAGTGCAGGTCCAGAGAGGAGTCACTGAAAGGGTGGGTGGCATCTCCTTCCCACCCACGCCCATCCTCTCGTGGGCTGGGGAGCTTGGTAGCATCTGCCTTGACTTATTCAGATAGCGGTGGCCAGGAAGGCCAAAGTCAGGGAACACTGATGAAATGGACCTGGGGTGAGGATGAGAAGGAGGGAGCTCTGGGCGTACTTGTATGTGTGCATATATCCCTGCAGTGGGCTGGGGGCTGTCGCTGGGCCAGGGATCCTGTGTCTTCTTCCTCATGCTTCTCCTCCCCTGTTTCATGGGCCCCAAGATCTCTTCCACTGGGCCTGCCTCAATGAACGTGCTGCCCAGCTCCCCCGAAACACAGCACCTGCTGGCTACCAGTGCCCCAGCTGCAGTGGCCCCATCTTCCCCCCAGCCAACCTGGCTGGCCCTGTGGCCTCTACGCTGAGAGAGAAGCTGGCCACGGTCAACTGGGCCCGAGCAGGACTGGGCCTTCCTCTGGTGAGAGCCCGTCTGCCCTGGCTCCCTCCTGGGCTGAGGGGTGGGTGGGGACAGCACTGGGCAGGCTGATAACATAGGTTCCTTCCTCCAGATTGATGAGGTGGTGAGCCCAGAGCCTGAGCCCCTGAACACCTCCGACTTCTCTGACTGGTCCAGCTTTAACGGTAAGTGGCAGTTTCCACTTGCATTGGGGCCTTTGCCTCCCTGCTCTGCTGACATTCTCTTCCTGCCCACAGCCAGTGGTACCCCTGAACAAGAGGAGATAGCCAGCGCTTCTGCTGCCCCAGCCTTCTACAGCCAAGCCCCCCAGCCTCCCGCTTCCCCCAGCCGGCCCGAGCAACACACGGTGATCCACATGGGCAATGCCGAGCCCTTGACTCACGGTGAGCCAGAGAGTGGTCCAGGCCAGAAGAGGCTAGAAAGGGAGCCGGGTGGTTTGTGTGGAGCAACCTCAGGGGTCCAAAGACCACCCAGAGGGACCCTCCCTCACTCCAAGAACAGACATTACCTCCCCACAAACCCAAGATGCTCTGTCAGGCTGAAAAGGGCAAAGATCTGGCCTCCTCTCTCCCCACCCGACTACGGGTCAGTTTCTCTGAGCCTGTGGGTGTTGGTGGCTCTGCCCCTGCAGCCTCAGCGCCGAGGAAGGTGTATGACACGCGGGATGATGACCGGACTCCAGGCTTCCACGGGGATTGCGATGATGACAAGTACCGGCGCCGGCCTGCCCTGGGCTGGCTGGCCCAGCTGCTCAGGTACACAGGATCAGGTGTGGCAAGATGCCAGGAATGGGGAGGAGAGGAAGTGAGAGCCAGAGGCCCCAGGCGGGACGATTGCATGACAAAAGGGCTTGTGCTGGGTAATAAGGGTATGTGGTGTTGGGGCTGTGCAGAGAGGCCTCGACCTGGCAGGAGAAGTCTTGGGTCTACCCCTCCCCGGAGCTGTTTCCTCGCCTGCTACATAGGAGGTTTGAACACAGGCTCTTTGAGGCCCCTTCCTGCTCTGACACCACCTGACCTTTGTGACTCTCCCCATGCCTGACACGTCCCAGTTTCCAGAACAGTCATTGCTTCAGCTGGTTTGAGTGGCACAGTCACCCTTGTAGTGGGCACGTGCAGGGGTGGTCACCCCCACGGCACGCTTGAGGAGACGAGGCTGAGGGATGGCAGCACTGGGGCTAGGAGATGAGAGTCATTTCTAGGGCTCCTCTCCGGTCCCCAGTGGCCGCCAGGGACTGGAGCCTGACGCGGCTTTCCCCTCGTCCCCCAGGAGCCGGGCTGGGTCTCGTAAGCAGCCACTGACCCTGCTCCAGCGGGCGGGGCTGCTGCTGCTGCTGGGGCTGCTGGGCTTCCTGGCCCTCCTTGCCCTCATGTCTCGCCTGGGCCGGGCTGCGGCTGACAGCGATCCCAACCTGGACCCGCTCATGAACCCTCACATCCGTGTGGGTCCCTCCTGAGCCCTTGCTGGTGGCTGGGCCAGCCTGGGACCTAGGGGCCTGAGGAGGGGAGGTGGGGAGATCTGGGGACCCTTCTTCTCTGCTCCTCTCCCTCTGGCCTGAGACACTAAGATCCCAGGCCCAAAGCTGAGTCCACTAAAGTGGCTGCAGGCTGGGCCTGGGATCCCCGTAGGTCAAGTATTTGTTTTGACCTGCTTCCATGGGGTCCCCAGCCTCCCACCCCCTCCCCCACAAAGGAGATGACAGGTGGAAATAAACGACAGACTTTATTAAAATACCCGAAGCAGCCTTTTCCTTCCCCCTTCTCAGCCCAGTCTCCAGTCCTCAGTGGTTCTCCTCCCGGTACTGGAGGGCCATAAACTCCAGGGACAGGCGGTTGAAGAACATGGCTCCATTGAGCACTGGGCAGAGGACAGAGCCCCGTTAGCCTTCCCTGTCCCCTCCGTGCCATGTCTCAGGGTTCCAAAGCTCCCCCTCGCCTTTCATACGCCCCTCCCCCACTTACTCAGGATGGTCAGGGAAAAGCACCGAAGAAACTTGACATCTATCATCTCAGCGTAGAGTGACCCCATGGCGGCCCAGCAGATGCTGATTACCTGGGAGAACTGGAGACCCCGTCCAGGGGCAAGTGGCCCCCTGACACAGCAGCGGAGGTTCCGTCAGACCCTGCGCCTCCCTGACCAGCCCTTGAGCCCTGGCCCCGTCTCACCATCAGGACCACTGTGTAGCGGAAGCTCATGCGGTCGTAGTGGTGGGTGACGCAGAAGTGGTGCACATCATTGGCAAAGACGCACAGGTGTATAAAGAAGAGCATCATGGCAGCCACGGTGAGCATCACGCCTGGTGGGAAAAAGAGCACAGCCATGCGGTCCCGCCACCGCATCCTGGCCGCAGCAGAGACTCGAGTGAGACGGTAGAGCTGAGCAAGCCGCCACTGCCCGGGAGCAGCGGCTGACCCTTCTGGTTCTGGAGGGCAGAGTCTGGAATAGCAGTGAGATTCTAGAACCAGGAGGACATTGGAGGGGACAAGATTCTAAAACGTAGGGTGGTTCCGGCCAATGTAGGAGTGTTTCATGGGTGGCTGGCGAGCTCTGAATTGTGGGGGAGTAGTGGACTAAAGGTCCAGGCTCGCGGTCTGACCACTGAGTGCTCTCAACAGTTCCACAGACGAGGTAGTGTGGGCACGTTCTACAGGTGAAGGACTGGGGCTTAGAAAAGTGGAGGGGCTTGTCTTAGGTCCACAGCGAATCTTAGGCAGATGAGAGATTAGGACCCAGATGGATAGGTGGAGGGCATTCCCCAGTGAGGGGAGGCCTGGCTAGATCACAGCCTCCAAGTGTTTGCTCCAACCCCTAATGGGGAGGAACTAAGGGGAGGAAAGGGACAACAGATTCCCCATAGCTGTCCTGGGACCTTCCTCATGCCCTCCCCAGGTGTGGCCCGGACAGCAACTGGCTTTTCCATCCTTTTCCCAGATGTTCATGTAGGACCCGATGCTGACCAGCTTGCCCCTCTGCCACCTTCTGGCTCTCGGAACATTTTCACACCCATCACCTCTGTCATTCCAGGAGTCCCATCAGGAAGCTGGGGCTGGTGGCATAAATCCTATTTCACACACGAGTCTGAGGCACAGAGAGGGACCGTCAGCACGAGCTTTCACAGCCTCTGGGTGAGGGAAGCAGTACTGAGACTAAGATCTGATTGTACCTGAGGCTGTGGAGTGGGCAGGGACAGTGAGAAGCCGAGAAGAAAACGTTTCCTCCATACATGTCAGAGGTGCAGACTCCAGGACTGTCAATAAAATAAGCCGGAAAAACGGCCTGAAACGGTGCGGAGGGCCGTGCGGGCTGCCAGGAACTGAAGCAGCAGGAGGGAGGGCTTGAGGTTGAACTTGGCCCCGTCCACTGCCTCCTGCCTCACTGTCTGCCCGGAAGTCAGGTCCCAGCTCAGGCCAGGACCTGAAGTCTGCCTTCAAGCAGGAGGGTTAGAGCCTGACCCCGCCACCCAGGCTTGCTGCCCAGTGTCACTGAATCACAAACAGCCCCTCAGACCCCAATCACGACACATTAAAGGGGCGATGCCCCAGTGCCCAGCTGTGGTCCCACTGGTGAAACAATTGTTTGCACCTTCTCATTGAATACAAATGAACTTTTATACATTAGGGCTCCTAGCTCAATGCCATTTAAAAACTCCAAGTAGTGTATGAATAGGTTCTTGTAAAAGGTTTGCATAATTCACAGCATACAGAGGAAAATGTGACAGTCTCCCTCCTTCACCCGCTCCCCTACAGAGGTAACCCCTTCCACAGTTCGGGGAGTGGGCATCTTTTGAGTCCCTTCTTGATGTAACCTTCATACGCCTATGTGTACGTAGATATGCATAATTTTAAAAAACATGAAAAAAATCACACCATATTTATTGTCAAAGTTTAATTTTCAAAAAGTTAAAAACATCTAGGGGCCAGCCCAGTGGCGAAACGGTTAAGTGCACATGTTCCGCTTCGGAGGCCCGGGGTTCACCGGTTCGGATCCCAGGTGCGGACATGGCACCGCTTGGCAAGCCATGCTGTGGCAGGCGTCCCACATATAAAGTAGAGGGGGATGGGCATGGATGTTAGCTCAGGGCCAGTCTTCCTCAGCAAAAAGAGGGGGATTGGCAGATGACATTAGCTCAGGGCTAATCTTGCTCAAAAAAAAAAAATCTAAATATGGAATGAACACGTAACTAAGATGTATGAACTCACCAGTAAGGAGGGTCCCCCTCACTGAGGTGGCACTACATCTTAAGGAGCTGGATATCGATCCTTTAAAAAGGAATGTTAGAATGTGACTATTAGGTTACATACAAAACTGGTTGATGTCCTACAGGGAAGTAAAAACTATAACTTTCGAGGTTATTTTTTCTACTGGATAGAAATGTTTTGCATCTCCCCTGGATGATATCTACTTGTAATTTCAGAGTCTGAATCCTTAACAGTAAATAACAAAATCAAACGAATGTACATTCTTATGGGTAATTAAATAGTCCTTGGATAGGCTTGTGACACAGTGCCCCAGTATGACATTGGAAGGACATGCTCCACTCTTATGTCCAAATTTTGGAGAATTTTTCTTAACAGTATTCTGCAACTTTTTTTTAAGTTTATAGATTTTTGGAGTAGATCTAAATCTTTAAACTCTTTATTTTATTATTATTTTTTGCTGAGGAAGATTCTCCCTGAGCTAACATCTGTGCCAGTCTTCCTCTACTTTTTTTGTATGTGGGATGCCTCCACAACATGGCTGATGGAGTAGGCCTGTGCCGGGGATCTGAACCCATGAACCTGGGCCGCTGAAGCATAGCACATAGAACTCGGCTTCGGGGCTGGCCCTCTTCTTGGTAAGATGACAGCTTCATAGGCTGAAATCTTCATGTGTATTTTTTATTCAGCCTCTGAACATCTCAGAGGTTCAGAGGACTGCAAACTTTTTCTGTAAAGGACCAGAAAGTAAATGTTTTAGGTTTTGCCAGCCATAGGGTCTCTGTTGCAACTACTCTATTCTGTTGTAGTGCAAAAGCAGGCATAGATAATATGTAAACAAATGGGCATGGCTGTGTTCCAATAAAGGTTTTTGTTTATGGACACTGAAATATGAATTTCATATAATTTTCATGTGTCATGAAATGTCATTTTTTTCCCAACCATTTAAAAATGGAAAGAAAAAAAAAAACAGTTCACAGGCCATATGAAAACGGGCACTGGGCTATGTTCGGCCCACAGGACCCCTACCAAAGGATAATTAAACAAAATTGTTTCTCTTCCACCCCCGACCCCCCAGCCCATCATCAGTAATGTTTCAAGGAGCACATTGATAAAGTCTTTATCTCATTTTCATCCATTTAAACTCAGTGTCTCAGTTTGAACGCCAAGTCTTCCTTGTCTTCTTGAGCTCTTCACCTCGTGAACGTCTGCACTTTTTGGTTCAAATCACAAACCTGAGAATTATCCTCAACATCTCCACCCAAGCCTTCGCTCAGCGCATCGCAACATCAGCCACTTAAGATCTGCTGAGTCTGTCTTGTCAGCACGGTATAACAGGAGTTCTCAGCATAACTACTTGAGGACTGTTCTAATAGAAGCTAGGTGTAGGGCGAGCCCAGTCTGAAACGAGCCACAGCTAATTCTGAAGGCAATTCTGATGCAGGTCAGAGGATCAGGAGGCGATGTGCGACGTACTGTACGCACATTTAGTCCTCGCGGCCCCCCGGTGAAGCATGTACCCCAATTTTAGGAATGGGGGGAAACTGAGGCGCTGCCCAGGCAACGAGGCAATGGCAGGATGCCTGAACACGCTTTCCGGCTCCACGGCCCGCGCTCAGTCCTCTGCATCTAGAGACATAATCCGCGGGCCCTTTGCCCGCAGCGGTGCAGGGGTGGGAGCCACGACCCGCCTTCCTTTTGGGAGGGCAGCGACCCAACCAGTGCCACAAAATCCTTCCACCTGAGATGCTGGGGGAACCCAGGGCTCTCCCAGAACCTCTTCGCTCGGGGAGGAAAGCTGCGGGAACTCTAGTGTCGAAGGACCCAGGGCTGCGGGGGGACGTTTCACCTGAAGGACTGCCTCGTTTCAACAACAACTTTATGGCTCCCGGAAGTGCCTCCTCCCGGTCCCCGTTCCAGCCTCACGCCCGTGGGCTGCAGTTGGAGCCATGGCGGCGGCAGCCGCTGGGCCCGGCCCGGGGTCTGGACCTGGGGACTCCCCGGAGGGGCCCGAGGCGGAGGCTCCGGAGCGTCGGCGGAAGGCGCACGGGATGCTGAAGCTTTACTACGGCCTCTCCGAGGGGGAGGCGGCGGGGCGCCCCGCGGGGCCCGACCCCCTGGACCCCACAGATCTCAACGGGGCGCACTTCGACCCGGAAGTGTATCTGGACAAGGTGTGTTTACGGGGGGTGCGGGTGGGGGGACCAGGACCCGGATATATTGCACTCCCACATCATCCCTCCGACTTTGTTGCAGGGGTGAGGGAAGCAGGGGTTCATAAAGACGACCCTCGGCCAGGACGACCCTAGGCCAGGCAGCCGGGGCAGGGCTGGCTCGAAGAGGGCGTGGGCAGATTTGGACTGGCCTAGGGTGGTGCGGAGACGGAGGCTCCAGGGTGATGTTCTGATAGGCCCGGGAGAGGGGGCGTGGCCCAGGCGCTGACAGGCGCAGGTCCCAGCCTTGGCTGAGTCTGAGGATTTCAAATGCCGACAAACCCCAAATAGGGTCGAACCCTGCGCTGTGTCGCTTATAGGCTCCATGTCTGGGATTCCTGACAGGGATGGGGTCGGGATTTCTTTGCACCGAAAGCCTACCCGTTAGGGGCAAGGCTGGGAGACATGAGTGCCCCCTGACCTGAACGCTACCCACCCAATTTCCTCCAGCTGCGTAGAGAGTGCCCCCTGGCCCAGCTGATGGACAGTGAGACGGACATGGTGCGGCAGATCCGGGCTCTAGACAGCGACATGCAGACCCTGGTTTATGAGAACTACAACAAGTTCATCTCAGCCACAGGTGATTCCCACTGGGACACAGCCCTCACAGTTCCATGTCCCCCAGCTCCTCCTCCTGTGCTGGGGAGACCAGCAGGGGCTTTAGAGGGAGGAGACCCAGGTTCCTGCCCTGCCTGACAATAATCCACTCTCCCCTCTCTCTCAGGACTTTTGTGGTCAGACACCTAGAGAGGTAATAGCTGCTCAGAGAGTTGTTTTGAGGATCAAAGGGGAGAAAGGACAGAACGAAATTTTAAAATGAAGTGACTTTGTCTGAAGCACTTAGAATCCCGGACACTAAGGATGTGTGGGATGCTGAAGCTTTACGGCTCAGTAAGGGTTAGTTTCTCTCATTAGTGGTCCATTTCTTCTCTGGTCCAGGTCTTTCTTGAGGATGGACTTGTCTCTCTCTCTCTCTCTTTCATTCTCTCTTTTCAGTTAAGCAAAGAGACAGAAAATTTATGACATTAAGATCACGTAAAGGTTTTTTTTTCTTTCTGTCCCTTTAATTCTCTATTCAAGACAGTGCTAGATGATGTCCAGCTGTCATCCACTAGCTTCAGACTTGTGTTGGTGAAATGCACTACTCAGAGTTTTGTAACAGTTTTGGACTCACGTGTTCTTAGTCCTGCAGGCAAATCCCAAGGGTCTACTTGCAGTCCGTGGGAATGTTCTGAGAATGCACCATGGGGTGCATTCTGATGTCTCTTACTTTGCTGGTGTCACAATGGAGGTGGGTGTAGTAACACGTAGTTATTGTTCTTTTATCTGATTTGAAGCGGGTTCAGTGAGTAGGTGCCTTTCTCTTGCTAACACCAGCACAGAACAAGAAGTCATTTCTGTGCGGAGAAATTTCTCACAGGAATTTTGCAAATATTACATTTTCCATTCCTTAGAACATATACATATAATGTTTTGACACAGCTCTTGCTTACTAGGATTGGTTTATTTTGTCTTTTTCCTAAAAAAGAGAGAGAAAATTATAAAGTGGTTGTTGGAGTCAGGGATTCTAAATGTATAAAGACTGTAAAGTCTTGGGGCCGGCCCGGTGGCGCAGCAGTTAAGTTGGCACGTTCCGCTTCAGCGGCCTGGGGTTCCCTGGTTCGGATCCCCGTGTGGACATGGCACCATTCAGCAAG